GTCCTACACTTCCAGTTAGAATTCGACCGTTACAAAAATAATAACAACACGAGATGTGCAGCATTAACCACCTATGTCTACAGCATTAACCACCTATGTCTACAGCATTAACCACCTATGTCTACAGTATTAACCACCTATGTCTACAGTATTAACCACCTATGTCTACAGCATTAACCACCTATGTCTACAGCATTAACCACCTATGTCTACAGCATTAACCACCTATGTCTACAGCATTAACCACCTATGTCTACAGTATTAACCACCTATGTCTACAGTATTAACCACCTATGTCTACAGTATTAACCACCTATGTCTACAGCATTAACCACCTATGTCTACAGCATTAACCACCTATGTCTACAGCATTAACCACCTATGTCTACAGCATTAACCACCTATGTCTACAGTATTAACCACCTATGTCTACAGCATTAACCACCTATGTCTACAGCATTAACCACCTATGTCTACAGCATTAACCACCTATGTCTACAGCATTAACCACCTATGTCTACAGCATTAACCACCTATGTCTACAGCATTAACCACCTATGTCTACAGTATTAACCACCTATGTCTACAGCATTAACCACCTATGTCTACAGCATTAACCACCTATGTCTACAGCATTAACCACCTATGTCTACAGCATTAACCACCTATGTCTACAGCATTAACCACCTATGTCTACAGCATTAACCACCTATGTCTACAGCATTAACCACCTATGTCTACAGTATTAACCACCTATGTCTACAGTATTAACCACCTATGTCTACAGCATTAACCACCTATGTCTACAGCATTAACCACCTATGTCTACAGCATTAACCACCTATGTCTACAGCATTAACCACCTATGTCTACAGCATTAACCACCTATGTCTACAGCATTAACCACCTATGTCCACAGCATTAACCACCTATGTCTACAGCATTAACCACCTATGTCTACAGTATTAACCACCTATGTCTACAGCATTAACCACCTATGTCTACAGTATTAACCACCTATGTCTACAGCATTAACCACCTATGTCTACAGTATTAACCACCTATGTCTACAGCATTAACCACCTATGTCTACAGCATTAACCACCTATGTCTACAGCATTAACCACCTATGTCTACAGCATTAACCACCTATGTCTACAGCATTAACCACCTATGTCTACAGTATTAACCACCTATGTCTACAGCATTAACCACCTATGTCTACAGCATTAACCACCTATGTCTACAGCATTAAAGGGGAAGTATACCCGAAAGTCAAATTTTCACCAGTTGTAGTCTTCTGGGTGCTGAGTCGAATGGTCTTGGTCCGAGGAAGCTGAGACGCTCCCTTCCTACTTAAATCCCAATCGAACTCGCGCACTTCCACCGAAACTGGGTGACTGCGCCCTACTAGATGGGGATTTGTATGCAAAATGTCACTAAAAGTGCCATTTCGTTCTTATAAAAGCACGGATGACCGCGATTGGCCCATATGTTGTAGTCTTTTGGACGCTGAGTCGACTGGTTTTGGTCCGAAAAGGCTGCGATGCAGCGTTCCTCCTTTATTCCCAATCGAACATGGTTGAACAAGCGGTCACGTGCTCCTGGGTGCCCAAATCACCTGGTCACCACGCCAGCAGGCGACAAATTTCACACCAAGGTTCAACTCGAGTTCAACTCGAGTGACAGGAGTGCACCCAAAAAAGGTCAAACAGGCTAGTAAGTTGTACCCTGCAGGCACGGTGACCAGGTGACTGGTGTACGCAGGAGCACGTGACCGCTTCTTCAACCATGTTCGATTGGGAATAAAGGAGGAACGCTACATCGCAGCCTTTTCGGACCAAAACCAGTCGACTCAGCGTCCAAAAGACTACAACATATGGGCCAATCGCGGTCATCCGTGCTTTTATAAGAACGAAATGGCGCTTTTAGTGACATTTTGCATACAAATCCCCATCTAGTAGGGCGCAGTCACCCAGTTTCGGTGGAAGTGCGCGAGTTCGATTGGGATTCAAGTAGGAAGGGAGCGTCTCAGCTTCCTCGGACCAAGACCATTCGACTCAGCACCCCGAAGACTACAACTGGTGAAAATTTGATTTTAGGGTATACTTCCCCTTTAACCACCTATGTCTACAGCATTAACCACCTATGTCTACAGCATTAACCACCTATGTCTACAGTATTAACCACCTATGTCTACAGCATTAACCACCTATGTCTACAGCATTAACCACCTATGTCTACAGCATTAACCACCTATGTCTACAGCATTAACCACCTATGTCTACAGCATTAACCACCTATGTCTACAGCATTAACCACCTATGTCTACAGCATTAACCACCTATGTCTACAGTATTAACCACCTATGTCTACAGCATTAACCACCTATGTCTACAGTATTAACCACCTATGTCTACAGTATTAACCACCTATGTCTACAGTATTAACCACCTATGTCTACAGCATTAACCACCTATGTCTGCAGCATTAACCACCTATGTCTACAGCATTAACCACCTATGTCTACAGCATTAACCACCTATGTCTACAGTATTAACCACCTATGTCTACAGCATTAACCACCTATGTCTACAGCATTAACCACCTATGTCTACAGTATTAACCACCTATGTCTACAGCATTAACCACCTATGTCTACAGCATTAACCACCTATGTCTACAGCATTAACCACCTATGTCTGCAGCATTAACCACCTATGTCTACAGTATTAACCACCTATGTCTACAGCATTAACCACCTATGTCTGCAGCATTAACCACCTATGTCTACAGTATTAACCACCTATGTCTACAGCATTAACCACCTATGTCTGCAGCATTAACCACCTATGTCTACAGTATTAACCACCTATGTCTACAGTATTAACCACCTATGTCTACAGTAAGACAAAGACAGTAGTACAGTACCATGAGAGACACACAGGCACAGGCACAGGCACAGACACAGGCACAGGCACAGACACAGGCACAGGCACAGACATCATATGCATACTGGCACACAGCGCAAGACCACACAGAGCATGGATGGGGGGGGGGGGGGGGGGGGGGCTTACCTTGATGTACGACAATGAAGAGGTGCTCATCATGGACAGGTTTGTCTCTATCCGGTGCATTCTGACTGACAGTACACTGACTTGTCAGCAGCTTGTTTAGCTGAAAGGAGACAACCACAACAAGGTTCAGTGTTAGATACAACATAGATACATACATACATAGATACATACATAGATACAACATAGATACATACATAGATACATACATACTACATAGATACTACATAGATACTACATAGATAGATACATACATACATACATACATACATACATACATACATAGATACATGCATAGATACAACATAGATACTACATAGATACTACATACATAGATACAACATAGATACATACATACATACTACATAGATACTACATAGATACTACATAGATACATACATACATAGATACATAGATACATACATAGATACATACATAGATACAACATAGATACTACATAGATACTACATACATAGATACAACATAGATACATACATACATACTACATAGATACTACATAGATACTACATAGATACATACAATAGATACTAGACTTGTAGTTTGAGCACTCTGGCACTAGAGCGACGAGCTATCTTAATGTCTGTGGTGCCTCCTTTGCACCATGGCTGGTAGCTCGGCCTATTTAGCTCGTAGCTGTACTGATGAGGCCTTTATGGCCGAAACAGCTTGCTGTCTACAGCATTGGGTACAATAGATACTACATAGATACATTCATACATATGATGAGGCCTTTATGGCCGAAACAGCTTGCTGTCTACAGCATTGGGTAGATACATACATAGATAGCTTAGTGAATAGAAGTGTGCAAGGAATACTAACAACACTGCACCAGCATTAGACACTAGCTGGTAGTTTATTTTGCTAAACTGCACAGCGTAGCTGACACTTACGTTTCAGTGGATTGGTGTGCGTGCGTGCACGTACGCATATGCGCGTGTGTGTGTGTGTGTGTTTCCTCGTCACGGGCCACGCAAGCGCTGGCGTGACAACATCGTAAATGATCCGGAGGAACGGCACCTCAATAACTTGTACAGCCTAGCTGAGGACCGTCGTGAGTGGAGACTGGCCTGCAACACCATCCAGCCGCCTAAACTTGTGTCTCGCGATTTCAGGTGCCACTGCGGCCGAGATTTTCGCCATCGTCACAACCTCACTCGTCACTCGAAGTTCTGTTCCCCGTGACTAAAACAGTGTCCGTCCTTTCAGGACCTGCCATCATCTGCGAATGGACATTATTGTGTTGTATTGTGTGTTTGTGAAGGTACTTCTGACTCGTGTGAATATATCACGACATCCTTATCTTCGCACTAACGAGTTTCACGCACTAAGCGATCATCAGAAAACAGGTATGCTTATCATTATCTTTACACTATAGCAATCCTTGCGGCAACGTTTCGGCAATTTTGAAACGTAATAATTGACTGTATTATGAAGAAGAGTTTGATGATTGCAGAGTGCAAACTTAGTAATACCTGTAGATAGGATGAGTAATGCCTGCTTGCTTTCACTGCGTCCTTTGAACTAGAATCAGAGAAAACAAAGCAGAGTGACAAACCGGAGTATGACAACCATACACTCACCAACATGCATGTGTGTGTGTGTGCTTCTAGTTACCAAGTACCAGGATAGCGGGTTAGGATCCGGTGTATGTTATGTTGTGTATGTGAATTCGTCCAAACCTGGACAGCCCAGGGTTATCACTGACTTTGCAAGACTGGGAGCAGGCTTGGGAAGGCATTCACAGAACCTGAAGTCCACGGCAAGCTTTTCGTGTTGTGGCTTCACGGATGAAATTCTTCTACATTGTACCTCCACCTGCATCTACAGGCAGCAGCAGTTCCATGTGTGTGGAAAGTGTGTACATGAAGCGTACAAGAGAAAAGTGGGAAACAAGCTTGAAAGCACTGTGCTTTCAAGCTGAAACTTCCGTTCATTAGTGAAGAGTGAGGGCTGAGTCGACAAAGCAGCATTGGGAGGGCAAGACAGAGAGAGAGTGACAGGATAATCCTGTGAGTGATCAACTACACGTAACCCAAAACACTATGGCTGAGCATCTCGGATACAACTCTACAGGAAACAGGGTGGTACGCTCCCTCTCTCTCTCCCTCCCGCCCAAACTGGGTCACCAGACACGGGGTCCTGCAGAACGACCCGTTCACTCAACCTTTAAAGCTACAACGTACGCACAACACGCTGCTCCTGTCCCACGTCCCATGCACAAGCATTAACCAGGTCGCACGTGCCACACACACAACAACCCCATGCAATACGACATCCTTCAGCAACAACCCCATGCAATACGACATCCTTCAGCAACAACCCCATGCAATACGACATCCTTCAGCAACAACCCCATGCAATACGACATCCTTCAGCAACAACCCCGTGCAATACGACATCCTTCAGCAACAACCCCATGCAATACGACATCCTTCAGCAACAACCCCATGCAATACGACATCCTTCAGCAACAACCCCATGCAATACGACATCCTTCAGCAACAACCCCATGCAATACGACATCCTTCAGCAACAAGCGAATGCAAAGGGTACATGTACAGGCAAAAGAAAAGCAGTAGAAGGAATTGGACAGTGCGAACGCCAATGAAAAGAGCAGTTTTCAACCTGTCTCGGATCAGTGGCACATGTATCAGTGGCACATGTATCACGCATGACGTTGTACAGTTCTCTTTGGCCAGGGGAGTGACAGTCAGTGACAGTCACAAACTGTACCTTGTATGCCTCAAAAAAGTTCTACGGTACGCTTAAAGCACGCCTCACTATGGAACGAAGATCACACCGGCAAAATCATGTCAGAAACGCGTTGGCCTGCAGATGTCATCATCAGACGATGGAACTTCGGAAAGGCTATCCGATTGACCAATGTTCCGCAAGGACTATCACCGATTGACCAATGTTCCGCAAGGACTATCACCGATTGACCAATGTTCCGCAAGGACTATCACCGAATGATCTACCACTGCAAACAACGCATTGTTCACATTGATATAATAGCCATCAGAATTATTCACCAGAACGGGCAAAGCTCCCAAGCTCACCTGTGGATCCCGCCTCGGTAGCTTGCTACAACCCTCTTTTTCTTTCCCTACTAGTTGCTGTTACACTCACTGATCCTTATGCACAGATATACAGCATTCCCTCACTAGTGGGACCATTGTTATTAGGCTAGGGCCTGTTTTGGACTTTCCACTCTAAATAAAGAATACAAACAACCCTCCAGGCCGACTTCTGGCCGAGTGATATCAAAGCGACTACCTGGGCCACACCAACCGCATCAGCATGAACCCCCTCTGTTTTACCCTCACACACCCTTTACGCCTCGTACACTACCATAAAACGTCTGCAATGCATCAAACTCTCCAAGAAGCAGCTCCACACCACCCACTGAATTCTACCCCACTGCACCATTCCCACGTTTGCTACTACGAGTTGCACATGCCAATATATGTAGCCATCGGAATAAGTTCACGAAATCCAACAACTGATAGAAGTGCATAGCATCAGTATCCTATAGTAGCCCTGGCCTAACAGAGACATGGCTGCTACCACCGAGCTCATGAGGAAAGTTGCAAACGACTGGCTGCTGGCTATGGACAGCAAAAAGTTGACTGTGGTCGCATGCATAGACCTCAGCAAGGCATTCGATACAGTTCGCCACCAACAGCTGCTCACTGAGCTCTCCCAGATTGGCATGACAGGTACGTGCTTGAAGTGGTTTCCCTACTACCTGGAACGCCAAACTCAGTGCGTCCGGACGACCACTGATATCTCAGAAACCCTACCGGTCTCCCGTGGAGTTCCGTGAAGCACTATTTTGGGTCCGGTATTGTTTACCATTTACGTACGAAAACTGCCACAGATAGCTTTTTGCCACAACTGCCAACTCCTGATGTTCGCTGATGACATGATACTCTATATGTCACATACCTCTCTTACCCCCCCCCCCCCCCTTACCCACTCAGTCACTTGGTTAATGTAGCTGTATTGGCCCTTTCGGCCCAACTTTTTGTGTTAGGACAGGTAGTTTTAAATACTGAGAAATCGGTTGCTTTGCTAATAGCAAGCATGATGAGCTTGCTGCCCGCCTGTCATGATCCAGGCTAGTCCACTCACCTATGTGAGAAGCATGAAGATACTTGGCATTCACATGGACACGCAGCTCAAATGGACCTCACCTGTTAAAATCCGCAGTGTCTAAACTAAGCAAGACGATTGGCATCCTCAGGCGTACCATCCGCCAGCTACAGTAAAACCTGTAACTAAAGACCACCGTGACTAGCGACCGGCCTGGTACTAACGACCACTTCGCCAGGCACGGACGGTCTCACATTCAAAATGCACTGTGACTAGCGACTACCTGCTGAACGCGACCAGCGACCGCTTTTTCTTGTCCCAAAGACGATTTTTGACCCGTAACTAGCGACCGCGATGTAGGAAATCAAACATTGCTCGAAGCTCCTTCTCGAAATGTTGATGATTTTCCTTGATCCTGAAAGGACTATTTCGATACTACAGCTGGACAAATAAACGCAGTCTCATTTTGACTGTGGAATCAGTGTGGACTGCACTACACCTGTCATAATTTCAAGTGCTGTCAAGAACAAACATGATAGGAAACGTCTTGGAGAGCGCATCCAAAGCGCTCTTTGATCGATGTTACTACTCGAAGGAGAAACTAAGACTGAGCGGCTCTCTGTCGAAGTGCACACAGCTCAGTCACCAGGTCACACTGAGTCCACAAAAGTCAGAGAAGTATCCGGCAAAGAAGCACTGTCCTGCATCTCAACATTGCAACAGTTTACGTTGCAGCGTGGCTTGTCTACCATGGCAATGGATGTAGAGAAACTTGGTGCCTTCATGAACAAACTTGAAGCCCAGATCAAAGAGAAGCTTCAACAGGGAACTCTTGACTCCTGGCTTCAGAAGTAGGAGCTGAATTTAATGTCTGCAATAAAACTTGATTTTCTTTCTCTCCAAGTGTTGTATGATCTGAAAGAAGAATGTCAGTGCGCAAGTGGTGGGGGATTGTATTATCTGCATTTTGACATACATATCATATAATGGGATCCATATATGGTCACGCGGTGCAAACCTCTAACTAAAGACCACCTGCCACAAAAGACCACTTTTCCGGGCACCAAGGTGTGGTCGTTAGTTACAGGTTTTACTGTATTCATGAAAGCAAGGCGCCATTTTATTTTACATCTGTATAGACTGTAATCGTTAACGGACATTCTGTGTTGTTTACCTTCCCCGCCTCTCAGTGTTGTTTACCTTCCCCGCCTCTCAGTGTTGTTTACCTTCCCCGCCTCTCTGTGTTGTTTACCTTCCCCGCCACTCTGTGTTGTTTACCTTCCCCGCCTCTCAGTGTTGTTTACCTTCCCCGGCTCTCAGGCACTGATAGAAATAGGCAAGTATTATTTTATTAAAGCACGCTGTCCGTGCCGCTTGTGGTGTGTCTTACTTAACGTCGACTGTTCCTCTTCTGCTGTCTTTACGCCTGTCACCTTTTGGAGTTCACATGATTGTCACATTCGCTAGGTTCATATTTGTCAATCATGTTTCGTGGCCTCTTCCGTATGTATCTGACTCACTCTTTCCCCATGTGTTTTCACTCGGGTGACCCGCATAATTATCGCGCAGGCGATACATGTTTTTTCTCACAGCGCAGCACTTTTGTTCAATGCTTTCCCAGCAGATCTTCACCAACAATCGCATCCATCTGGCTTTACTCGTGATCTGGACATAAGTTTGAAGGACCCGATTAGTCTTCGCCAGTAATGTCCCTTCTATTTGGTTATACCAAGAGTAGATAAACAAGAGTGTGCAACTCGCAGATAGGTTTGCCTGCGGTGGAATTTTTTGTTGACGTAATCTTTTCTGGAAATCATGAGTCATACCGTACGACGCACGCGCTACGAGTCTTTTGGGAAGTTTTGCCTCGTGCACTTGGCCGGGCTTTACTTTACAAGGTCGGTGCCCAGAATGTGCTCTCACATTGCTCTGCAGCAAAATGGGTGTGCTCTGTACGACACACATGCTTTCTGAAAAAGGTGATGTCAACAAAAATTCCGTGGGCCGGGTATCTGCAGATTGTGCAGAAGAGATGCGGAGTTGCACACTTTTGTTTATCTTCTCTTGGTTATACTTGAGTCTAAGTTTATTTGTTTCCTTCAACTTTTCTCATCCCCCTCCCATTACCACCCCTGGCCTTGAGGCCACGTGCCCATCCTATCGGCTTGCTTGATACTGAATGATAGCAGTGATCAATCACTGTTGCATAGACCGATATAAAAACTACATGACTACTACCACTGCAACTAGCAAGTTAGTTGCCAATTTCGAGTGGAAGTGTGTTGAATTATGTATGAGCCTAACCTGGCATTACTGTGTGGGCAACTCATGGTGGTAGAGATAGTCCTGATCGACGTAAGCGACTTGAGGTCTGGTGCACACCAACAACCGATACTTCACAGTATATGATGGGGTCCAAAATCAACGAAACTTGCAGGGAAAAATTAGAACGTACAAATCTGAGCAGACTCCTGGCCTGGCTTTATCACTCTCCCTCACTTCACAACTTTACAACGATGGACTGAACATTCATGATGTATGTAAGTCAAGAAACTTCAAAAGCTAAAACGTCAAAGACACACATGCACACTGCACAGTTGAAGAGTTCATCATCATCCTCATCATGTCAGTCGTCAAGAAAATCATATCCAGGCCATAAAAAAAGGCATGGAAATGTTTTAAATAATCATCATGCGGCATAATATGCAATCGTAATCTTACGACTTCAAAAATTTAAGATCAACAACAATCAACATACACAATGCAAATCAGCCAAATGAACACGAGGAAGAGATCATTGAGTGAGTGAGTCTGAAGAAGAGACGCCCTTTTCCAAGGTGTTTTGTTTTCGAGCGCAATCAGAGAGAGCGACAGACAGGGAGCATCAGCGAGCTGCAGTGTCAGTAATCTTGTACTTTGTCTCGAGTCAAGCGTGCAACCGGATGTAAAGGTGAAGGATAGGATACAACTTGAATTGAAAAATATTGTTCGTACGTTTGTTTCTGGGTGCATTTGCTAAGTTATAAAGTATGAGCAGTTTGTGCATTTTTGTATGTCGTTGAGTTGTTGGGAATTGATGTCCTACATTGGCTACAAATTTCCCTGGGTATAATCAATATTGTTGTTTTTCTCGTTGTTGGGAAACGTGTCATGTAGCTTTGACTTTGTATTTCTTGTGTTTTATCAATCTCGTATCTTGTACAGTGAGCTTGAGCTGAATATCGAATGGTGTGCAGGGCACGCAATAAGAGTCAAACAACACGTGGCTGTCTGTGGCGCCGACATGGGGCAAGTACTATCAGAACCAGTAACTGAGAAGTCCTCAAAGGAAATGAGCAACAGCCAATGGATGGTTGGCTCGTCTTCCATGCAAGGGTGGCGTGTATGTATCCTTCCACTGCTAACAATTGTATATTACTACACTGTAGTATATGAATGTACTCTTGTACTAAGTACCCATACACGTACACGTACATGTGTGCACAAGCACAAGCATACACACAGCGCTGGCCCAGGCGCAAACGCATGCATTCCGTACTTGTTGCGCACACCACACACATACACACGAATTCAACTTGTATGAAACAGAACAATATTTGGGCTAAGGCAATGTATGGTCATGGATTGCCTGTAAATACCAATTTTTTTCAAATTGAAGTTCTGGCATTTCTCCTGATTAACCCTCCCCATGGCCCAATACCCCCCCCCCCCCCCCCCCCCCGGGCCAGGGGACCTTCCGGGGTTATTTGTGTGTGTGTGTGTAAGTGTGTGTGTGTGTAAGTGTGTGTGTGTGTGTGTGTGTGTGTGTGTGTGTGTGTGTGTGTGTGTGTGTGTGTGTGTGTGTGTGTGTGTGTAAGTGTGTGTGTTGCTACTACTAGCATCATGTACATGTACATAGAGTATGTGAATATGTCAGCCAGAGTTTGCCTTGACTTGAGCCATGTCACGATGCCGTCATTCCGAACATACAGCCATGGAAGATGCACATACTCACATTCTGACCATGGAGGATGACCCTGCGGCGAGCTTCTTTGCCGTGTACGATGGCCATGGAGCTGCAACAGTGGCTGAGTATGCCGGTGTGGATATGCACAAGAGGATTGTTGCTCAGGCACAATACCGTACGTCAGTATGTGCTCTTACCTTGAACTTTGAACCTTGAACCTTGAACCCTGAACCTTGAACCTACTACATGTACAGTCACTGGCTTAGCAGTTATTCCCGGTGCTATGCAGGAGACGTTACTAGTCTGTGGGCCAAGTGACAAAAATGTGAATTCTCGTTCCGAGTATGAGGGCACCGCAATTTTTTTGGCCCAGTCGATAGATGGACTGGCATACATTGAAAACCCGTTTGTTGTCATTCCTGAATTTGTCCAAGGGTTGCACGGCGAGTGAAATACAAATCAGCACCGGTTGCCATGGTAACCAGAACCTAAAATTGGATTTTCTGGCTAATTACAATGTTTTTGGTATTATTATTTTTTCCACAGGGTCATCTATCCAGAGTGCCTCCTTCCCAGATTCAACTGGAAAGAGAAAAATATGATATAACATGAAAAATAAAGAAAAACTAAATGCCCAATACGTCCATATTGTTCATGTACACAGACGTGTGCAAGAAGACCGCGTGTGTCGAACAGAATACTGTAACTACTTCGAAACATCATTCGAGTCATTGTATACCATTTCATCTGATCATAATAGGACTGGCTGTGGCATGCAGGTACTGTACATTGCAGAATACTATGTCTGATCTAAGAATATCTCAGACCGTTCAATACAAAAATGGTGTACATTATACAGATATAAGGCAGAATACCCAGCCGCATTTATGCATTGCATAGTTATTATATGGGTTGCAGAATAATCTGAAAGTCCAGAGAAAGGATCACAACACTGTGACCATCAGCACAGGTCACTGACAGACCAGACCTGAAGGACCGCGTGACCCCAGAAGACTACGTTTGTTGCAGCTGTGTACGAGGGAGACTTCGTCATCATAACACTGACTTATACTGCAGGATTAGCCATACGGAATATGTTTCATGTTGCCAAAAAAGGTCGACCTGTAGAGAATAATCAGGTCACAGAAAATACACAATTCAAATTCCAATGATCACCCAACGTGTGGACAGAACTAGTTCGTCCTTAGTGGACTCATCAGCGCAGCACAGAGGAAATGAGGCCGAAGCCGATGGCAATGAAAAATAATCGCAATGATCATTCCCGTGCATTTTTATATCTCCCACATTGATTTTAGTCCACATGTGATATTGATACTGAACACTGGGCAAACATCAGAAGGACTTGAATTGGGCATGATGTACAGTCACGTACATGTTCATGATGTACAATGTGCATCACTGAACTCTAATGAACACTCAATCTTCAATCACATTATACATACCTGTCAGGATGGGCATTCTTTTTCTTATTCATCCTCGTCTTCACTGAGTTCTGCAGTTACTTGAAGCTCCAGTGGTTGCCCATTCTCACACTCCTGGCCCGAGTGAGAGCACTTGCAAGCATCCGTGCAATTGAGGTGCTGTCTCCGGCAGGAGCAATGTCCGTGCTTGCAGCCTGTCGTGCAACCGCATGAAACAAATTCCATCAGGCTCGATGGTGCTGGTGCCAAGCTGAGCCAGTCCACTTCCAAACCACCGCCAGAATCAATGGTCCACCCTTGACCAGGGCTATGCGGTGGTGGGACATCCGCGGAAGCTTCCAGAGCACGGTGCCAGATACTGGCCTGGTAATTTGCTCTTGCAGCATGCTTGCGCAGCGCATCTTGGCAAGGAGGAAGAGAGCTGGATTGCGTCGAGCGAGAGCAGAACATCTGGTATCGCACTTCGTTGATAGATGTGGCGGTGTTGAAGCCGTATATACCGCAAGTGAACTGCTCGATGCAAGCGAAAATGTCAGCTGGCAGTGCGTCAAATGATGCACTGAGTGCTGCCATAGCCTTTCGAGCCAGCTCGCCTTTTGGGGTTTGCTTGGTGATCAGCTGAAATACTAGCTTCTTCCCTCTGCCACTGAAGGCACTGGTTGTGTCACAACCTGTATAGGCATGCATCCCCACCATGGCTTCGCAAACAGGGGCACTAAGCTCTCGTGTAATTCCTGTAGCATTGTTTATGGTAGTTAACCTCGTGCGCAAATATTCCAGAGACGGATTGACCAATTGCAACTTGGACCTTTTCGTCTTTTCTGACGTTTACTGCGTATAACATGTACATGTACATAACAGCTTCGCTGCAGCGTGTGCGTATTCACACCTGCTTGTGGACTGGACTACAATTCTTCCGGCCAGGTTGCTGGCGTCTCTCCTTCCCACAAAATATGCAGCCCTTCATACCTGGAGCTACGACGGGCGCGGCTAGTGCGGCGCGCGTGCTGGGGCGGCGCTTGGCTTCTGGCTCTATCGACTCCGGCACAGACAGTTCTTCCGAATAGCTAGATGAGGGGTACTCTGCCTTCGTCGGAGGGTTATATTCGTTATTTTCTGGTAACATTTTCTGTGGAAGCCTCCGTTTTCAGGCCAAACATCACTACGACATAACTCCCTGAGCTCAGCTTAATTTTCTACGGCAACAGCTTCACTAGTGCATATTTCACACACCTTCTTCCACGTTGTCTGGGTGAAGGGCTTCACCTCCTCACCGCACTCCGGAACGTGAATGAGACACTTTAAACTCATCACGACGCTTACTTCTAGTGCTACTTGACCACAGACATACTAGTATACACTGAAACCAAAAAACCAATCTCGAAATGAAAGTTCAAACTGAGAAGGAAGATGCCAAGTATAGTGGGTGCACGCCTGCACTGCAGTGCAGAGAGTTAGAATTGTGGGTCCGGGTGCACGCCTGCAGCGAGTGTGCAGTGTACCAGATCGTACCAGATCACGACTTGACATGACAGGTAACACTGAATTCGTGTACTTTCGTCTATTCTGGTGGCATAATCACATTTCACAGCACCACACACAACGCGCATGCACTGATGAATGCATACAAAACAATGGCCGCCGAGAGAGAAATTTTCAACATGGAAAAGCCGATTTTTGGATACCTTTCAGAAAGTTGTCAGAGTGACAACAACCGGAATCCTGCTCAGTAAGGTATCTAGAAGAGACGTGGCCAATAAAATTGCGGTGCCCAAAAGTCGGAACGAGATTTTTCTAGGAGGCCTTTTTTCAGGTTTGGCCCACGGACTATACCTTATAGTCAGTTTCAAAAAGATTAGCAATCCTGGCGATCGCCCGGGGAGTTTGCCGTCTTACCGTATGACAGCTCGAGCGCTGCCTGGAAAAACTCACTGTGAACTCGAAGAAATATTCCGCGCGAAAGCATGAAAAATGACAACTCACTGACGTCGGTACTCGTACATGACTTTGTGTTCGTCTGGTTTACAACAAACGAGTTCTTCCTCGTATCGATATGGAGTCAGAGAGGACATGTCGAAACTTCAAAGTGTGGTAAATTTTGACGAGCGGGATGCGTCCGTTTTGTGACCAAATAGATTCTTTGAGCTGCCGCGGATGCAATTTACTCTCACGATGTGACGAATACGGCATCGACACAGACTCATTCCCAAGGCCTTGAAGTGGCAAAGTTATCCGTGTGACTTCGACGACATTTTGAGAAAAGCAGACGCCTGTGAAAGCTGATAGAAGACGGCGTTGACTCCTAAATTCAAATAAATTGGCGATCTTCAAAATTAATACTAAAATAATTCTCAAACAGAAATCGATCGATCGATGTGCCGGTGTATTCAACAACACACACGTAGCTACAGCGCAATGACTTCCGTGTTCACTCACATGGTTTCAGTGTTGTGTGTGTTCACAACTTCACATGGCGTGAGCCAGTCATGGTCAAGCGTCAGTCAGTTCGGCAGGAAACGCGAGCTCCAACAACAAGTCGTTTGGCGCAGCCACCTTCTTTGTCTTGTACCAGCGTGATCACCAGAACAATGAAAAAATGAAGAAAAAAATGTTTGACTTGAAGATTTGTTGGGATTTGAACTCACAACTTCATGGTCAGCAGACAGCATTCATAACCACAAGGCCAAAAAGGAAGGGATAAATCGTGGGTTTTGATAACAAATCGATACTGGCTTCCAGGGCAAATTATAAACCATGGGAAAAGGCCAGAAACCTGGCCGAAATACTAACTCCTTAATGGTTGATCCAATTGTTCCGAAACCTTCACAGAACAATTTGCCGTGTCCTAACAAGCCGTTTTATGTACTTTGTTGTCCAAATTTCCCTTATCTTCATACTTTTTAAGACCCAAACTTGATTGCTAATCTTTTTGAAACAGACTGTAGTAGCGTCTGGCGCTAGCCAGGGTCCACACCGTTTTATTTTGTATGTGTGTGTGTTTGGTAAGCCATAGGGCCAGCACGAATCACTTGACACGCCATGCATCGCGCTATTGTTTGCTATTGTTCCAGGACCGGTGGAAGCCGTGCCCTAGTCTTTCATACTTTGTGCATGATATGGAGGGTATACCCATTACCTCCTCAGCAGTAAACACACTTTGGTGGCCAAAAAGTTGTTGGTCCGACCATAACTGACCAACCGGACCGGTTCCGCCGGGCCTGTGTTCTTGTGACATTATGACTTCTTGTGGCAATACTCAGCCCTTCGGCTTTGCTTTTGTGGCATTGCTCAGCCCTTGGTCTGTGTTCTTGTGGCATTGCTCAGCCCTTGGTCTGTGTTCTTGTGGCATTGCTCAGCCCTTGGGACTGTGTTCTTGTGGCATTGCTCAGCCCTTGGTCTATGTTCTTGTGGCATTGCTCAGCCCTTGGTCTGTGTTCTTGTGGCATTGCTCAGCCCTTGGTCTGTGCTCTTGTGGCATTGCTCAGCCCTTGGTCTGTGTTCTTGTGGCATTGCTCAGCCCTTGGTCTGTGTTCTTGTGGCATTGCTCAGCCCTTGGGACTGTGTTCTTGTGGCATTGCTCAGCCCTTGGTCTGTGTTCTTGTGGCATTGCTCAGCCCTTGGTCTGTGTTCTTGAGGCATTGCTCAGCCCTTGGGACTGTGTTCTTGTGGCATTGCTCAGCCCTTGGTCTGTGTTCTTGTGGCATTGCTCAGCCCTTGGGACTGTGTTCGTGTGGCATTGCTCAGCCCTTGATCTGTTTTCTTGTGGCATTGCTCAGCCCTTGGGACTGTGTTCTTGTGGCATTGCTCAGCGCTTGGTCTGTGTTCTTGTGGCATTGCTCAGCCCTTGGTCTGTGTTCTTGTGGCATTGCTCAGCCCTTGGTCTGTGTTCTTGTGGCATTGCTCAGCCCTTGGTCTGTGTTCTTGTGGCATTGCTCAGCCCTTGGGTCTGTGTTCTTGTGGCATTGCTCAGCCCTTGGTCTGTGTTCTTGTGGCATTGCTCAGCTCTTGGTCTGTGTTCTTGTGGCATTGCTCAGCCCTTGGTCTGTGTTCTTGTGAATGTTTACATAAGTACTTCAAGTACATGCATGTCATGAATACCTTGTGGTGGTACAGGACATGCTAGCAAAGTGTGCTGCTGCTGGTGCTGTTGCTGCTGCTGCTGTTTTTTCTCCTGTTTGTGCCTTGTGTGTGCTTTAGGTGATGGTGATATTGGTGGTGCTATGAAGGCTGGCTATATGTCCCTGGATGAAGAAGTTCTAGGATGTAAGTGTGGTTTACAACTTTACGTAACAGTGCATGCAGTGATGTTTCAGTCACTGTTTTTTTCCTGTTCGGCTGTTTCTCCATGTTTTGTGGGGATTTCGATAATTTTGTTCTAGATGGAGAGACATGAAGTCCTACAGCGGACGGTCAAGATTTGACTTTCACATCATATGCTGTTCATGTACTGTAAGACATGTTATTATAACGAGTCGCAAATTTAACGATTGTCCAAAATTCATAGGTTAACGAGAAGATATGTTAACGATCTTGCAGTATTCTGCCATATCCACACACAGCATATATGAAGCAGTACGGCCTCAACGGATCTTATTATAACGAAGAAATGTCATCCGTTAAAACGTTAGATTTGCTTCCTCGTTATATATACATGTCTTACAGTATGTGTGTGTGTGTGTGTGTGTGTGTGTGTGTGTGTGTGTGTGTGTGCGTGTGTGTGTGTGTATGCGTGTGTGTGTGTATGCGTGTGTGTGTGTGTGTGTGTGTGTGTATGTATGTGTGTATGTGTGGCTGCGCTCTCACGTGTACTGTGTCTCACATCCTGTGATACAGGTCAAGAACGGTTTGGCCAAGCAGGAAGCACGGCTGTATCTGTGCTAATTCGTGAAAGCAAGCTATATTGTGTGAGTTGGTCGCGCTACATGAAATTTGAATTCAATGAAAGTGGTTTTTGGTTGCGAATTGTCGATCGATTCAAGTTTTCTGTTTGCTGTAAAAACTATGTCTTTGCTTGTCCGTGACATTGTGGTCTTACCTGTGGAGGCTGTGCGCAGGTTTGACCATAATTTTATGTATGTATGATGGATGTATTTGAACGCCTTGCTTGAACTATTGCTTCTAGGTTTCTAGGCTAATTGTCAACGAAAACCATTTTTAGAGCACTGTAGTGCACTTAAACTGAACTGGCTGGCTGGCTGGCGGGCTGGTTGGCTGGCTGGCTGGCTGGCGGGCTGGTTGGCTGGCGGGCTGGTTGGCTGGCTGGTTGGCTGGCTGGCTGGCTGGCTGGCTGGCTGGCTGGTTGGCTGGCTGCCTGGTTGGCCAGTTGGCCGGTTGTTCTTTTCCTAGGATTCGTCATTGGGGATAATGTTTTGGAGATGCGGTCATGCAGAGTGTGAATGGATCGGGGAGTTCGAGTGGACTCTGAAATGAATCAAGAGTTTATGTTTGATCATTTCGTGTAAAAACGAGTGTGTTTTCAGCCAAAACGATGGTGATTGGTAGGACAATTCCGTGGATTTTTTTGGATTTTGTTGTAGGATGCGTACTACTGCGCCTGCATTCCCGTGGCTTTTGGAAGCCCTCCTCTCCTTGTGTGCCAGTGTGACGAAAATATTTCAAACTCAGTGTACACTCTCTGCCTCTTTGTGAGCCTTTGGTTACCTTCTGTCTGTCTCTGTCTCTATGTATGTGCGTGAGTGTGTGTGCGTGTGTGTGTGTGTGTGTGTGTGTGTGTGTGTGTGTGTGTGTGTGTGTGTGTGTGTGTGTGTGTGTGTGTGTCTCTCTCTCTCTCTCTCTATCTCTATCTCTATCTCTCTATCGCTTTCCCCTGGTGTCTTTCTCAAATCTCAACACTTAGGCCAATGTGGGTGACTCTCGCGCAGTCCTTTCTCGAACTGGCAAACAAATTGCCTTGACGTATGACCATAAGCCTAGCCTTGAAGGTAAGCTTCACTTGCGCACTGCACATACAGTCCTGCACCAGCATGCACTATGCGAGGCAGGAGGGGGGGGGGGGGGGCAGGGTGGTGGGGCAGGGGCAAGCAATATGGGGGATACATGTACTTCGAAGTATACAGTGCAATGATTGATATGCATGCTTATGTCACGAACACAATAGCAAAGGTTTGGTTCCAGAACGTTTAATTGTCGCTGTCATCAATGGAATCTCGTGACTGAAAGAGTTGAAAGTGCTCGAAGCCGTGCACATTCGTCTGCGTAACCCTAATCTGTGCAAACTAAAAACAGAAAATGTCACTGCACTTTACACTCTCTTTCTGAACACACCCTCACCCATCTTACCCATACATTTTCACATACATGTCACACCTTACTCTCTTGATGCACCAGTAACATCCTGTTGCACTTCCCTATTGAACACTTATGAATATTTGTCACCTTACCTCTAATTATTATTTTTGAGCACTCATAACTTTAAATTGCAGTGTATACTTTTGAAGTATACATAATAATCATATATCCTACATATATCCTACTATTATTCCTCTACTCTCTTTCCGTCAAGCGATTCCCTTGATGACAGTAACAAGAATCATTCTGGAACCAAACCTTAGCTGCCTTAGCTGTTTGTGACATGACTGTGCATTTCATTTTGTTCATATCATTTTGTTCATTGCTTTCTTCATTGCTTTGACAGTAACAAGAATCATTCTGGAACCAAACCTTAGCTACCTTAGCTGTTTGTGACATGAGCGTGCATATCATTTTGTTCATTGCTTGTTCATTGCTATTTCACGATTATTGTCCCCACGTCGCCGGGACCATTATTTTTTTACTCCCTTCAGTAAATCTCATTCACATGCTGTGTACGCTCCGAGCAGATACTGTAGTTATGTTGACGCGACTATTCCTTTTCATGTCACCAGCATGCCAAGTGTCACATGTGCATCATGTGCATCAAAGCATCAAAGCAAGCTGGGTCCTAAGCTCTCTATGTACGTGTACGTGTGTGTGTGTGTGTGTGTATGCGTGTGTGTGTATGCGTGTGTGTGTGTGTGTGTGTGTGTGTGTGTGCGTGTGTGTGTGTGCGTGTGTGTGTGTGTTTTTTTGCAATGCTTGCACAGCTGAACAAGATCGGATCACAGCAGCGGGTGGTTATGTGCGCTTTAACCGAGTTAATGGTACGTCTCTCAGCCGTGTGTGTGTGTGTGTGTGTGTGTGTGTGTGTGTGTGTGTGTGTGTGTGTGTGTGTGTGTGTGTGTGTGATGGTTATACTGATTTCCCCGATGTCGCAATCATAACACGCAGTACATTGTATTTCAGTGGTTTCCTGTACATGTACTTGAAAGTAGGGAAGTGCACGCAGTGGAAGCAGCATATCTGCTCTCAACCCTGTATTGCATTGTTATTGACTTTTGGCCCAGGAGGACTGGATGTAATCTGAATCGAGGTGCAGCAACTGTGGCTGCAAGCAGTTCATTGATGGCATGGTGTACCCTAGGCTGTATGCAAGGTCGTTACATGCAGTTACATGCAGTTACTTCACGTCTCCGCTGCACTGAAAACACTCAGTATAGTACTACTTGCACATGTAGTTGACTTGTCACTTGTGTAGCTGCCAATGTAGCACTGCTACCGATGCATGTACTTGTTGTCTTCACGTCTAGGTGGATTGGCCATGACGCGTGCATTGGGTGATGTAACATTCAAAGGAAACCCCAGCCTGGCACCGGATGCTCAGATTGTTATTGGTATGTTGAACTTCTGTGTTTCATCTTGTGTGTTTGATATGCAGTACATGTAGTATTGTCGGCCGTGTGATTGTTATGTGCTCAGCAGAGAGTCGTAGTGTTTGGGGATATGACAAGGGCAACTGGAGCAGGAAACAATGTGGGTTTTGCTCCCAGGCTGCCCGTTCCAGTTATCCTTGGGGTAGTGCTGATTTATGCATGAGAGCTCCTTTCGAAGTTTAAAAGGAGGCTTAACCCTTTTGTGTCCACCAAACCCAGCCTATTCACGGTCCGAGTGACAGACCGTGTCCCATTTTGATCATAACTTTGATTTCCCTTGGGCGAATTGATAGGAGATCTTGGGTGTGTTGAAAAGCTTGAGCTCTGAAGAGGACTCTAGGACCAGAATCTAGTCTTGATTTTGTAAGGGAAGCGAAAATCCATCTTCAATTCATATTTTTCAATGCAACACCTGGCTAATCCTTTCGGAGCAGGGCCTGCTCAAGACATTCAACACAGCCCGGTCAGAGTGTACCTGGCGCATGCAGGCCAGCCAGGTCAAGCCGGGTCAGATCATCCGGCAGAAAAACAACCAAAGAGCCTGCTCAAAACGCAGGAAAAGAGAAAATCGTTTAGAGAACAAGGCGAACTATCAAAGTCTGCAAATGTAGAAGGTAAACGACATTACGTGAAGAATGCAAAGCAGTTCCATTGGATTCTGGTTTGACAATTTGAAAAAAAGGAATTCTGTTTTCTAATTAGTGCTAGTAGTAGTAGTAGGATGAACATGTTCACATAATAGAGCACTGGGGGGTGCCTGCAGCACCCAGGAGCCGAGCAGCATGCCGATAATTCGAAGCAGTGAGTTCTTACCTTTCAACCACGCATCGCGACCAAATCCACCGCCGCTCGTGTTCCCGGAACACGAGCGGCGGTGGATTTCCAAAGTTTGGAAATGCGTATGACATGGATAGACTGGCATGCTCGTAGTCCAGCCAGGGTCGACCTTTCTTCCAAAAGTCTTGGAAAGCGTGAGTTCTTTTTCTCTTCGCTGCGAGCTCCATCGTCCAAATCACCAGTCGGATGAAAACTTGCAACTGTGTCAAAAGCTATAGCCAAAGTAATTAGTTACGCTTTTGACTGCCTGCCCCATCGACTTTGAATGTCCCGACTTCCTGCTCGCCGCTGGCCAGATCGCGCTGGAACCAGTTGACCCCAGTTGACCCCAGTTGACCCTATGCCTAGCCGAGTCTGTCGCTTGTAGATTGTAGTGTGTAGATCTACGGTTGTGCTAGATTTGCAACAGATGGGGTCCGCGAGTCGTAAAATACCGGTATTTTAGGAATCCATTGTCAGTCTGAGACATTTTTTTCAGCCGGGTGAGACTGGACCCGGTGTTATCTGTTCAGCCAGGTCGTGCAGTTCCCCAGCCGGGCGCGTGACCCGGCTGACCCGGCTCTCTAGCAGGCCCTGCGGAGGTATTCATTGTCCCGAATGTGCACTTGTAAGCTGAGTCATATTGTAGGTGTACCATTTGGGAACCCTTGTTGTCAAGTTCTAGGAGGAAAGCATACTCATTTCCAAAGTTATACCATGGGAAACTTTGTTTCGTACGTGTCGCAAAAGCAGGCCTGCTTCAGATGCTTATAAGTTTTCTTTGGAACATGATAATTATGACTCTCGGGTTGTTTGCACATGGAAGGTGGGGGTCTTTTGTGCTTCTTTTGACACTGAATTCTTTTGACACTAAATTTGCACAAATTAGATACTAAATGAGTGAGTTGCAGTCTGTTAAAGTCCTCGACAGATAGTCGTCGATTTTTGACCGTACAGACGCAAAAGGGTTAAGGCCTATACAGAACTCTCATGCAAGTTCACACGTCTATGTGTTGAAATACACTCTACTATATGCTGTGGATCTACAAATATTCAGTGCGTACTAGTACTCGAAGTATTTAATATTGGCTAGGTACAACCTGACACTTCCAGGGCCTGAATTAATAAAAACGAATGGCCCTCGGAAGCTGACATATCAACGCGCGAGAGTTTTGTAGACTTGCAGTATGCAGTAGAGTGTCTGTTTCCTGCACTTTTGAGGAAAGGGGAGTCTCCAGGGGAGGGGGTTAAGATGAGCAATGTGTTCTGCGTAGCGAGCATATGCCTGTAAAACCAAGCCAGCATGTGTTTGTCGGAGTGAAGCAATAATCTTACAGTTGTAATAATTTGACAAATTTACATGTACACTGGACCAATGTGTGCTTGCAGCACTGAAAACTACTGGTCCGGATGTCACTCCTAATAACTGTTCCAATCATTCTTCTCGTAGCAACTATACATTGAAGTGATCTGCTACTAGAGTTTCTGAGTTCCTAGAAATAACTTTTGTGCATGTTGGTTTCTGACTTTCTGTGTGTGTTGTCTTGTAGCAATGCCAGATATTGTTACTGATGAAATCACTGAAGATGATGAGTTTCTCGTACTAGCGTGTGACGGTAAGCAAACCTCATTACCATGCCATCCCTCAGCTTCCTGTGCATGTACTGTAGTGTGTGAGTCACTCTAGTCACTCTATAAAATAAGTGGTAGTGTTTGCTTCAGCATGCAATGACAAGGGATACATGATTGGCCGCGCCATTATTCCATGTATGCCAGCATTCTGTATGACTGGAATCACATGACTGCAATGTACAGTATAGATGTATGGAGTGCAATGTAGAGGTGCTATGGGCTGAGTTACTAAAATATCGGAACCTACCAATACCTACCGGGAATTTTTAACCCATGTACGAGTGAAAACTGAAAATAGTACACAGCGTCAGGTTAACTTCACCTCTATCACCACTCGTGTGGCGCGATTACGATGAAGCACTACATTGTAGAAATATGTAACGGCGTCCACTATTTTAGTCTTAGACCTTTGTGCTGCTGCTGCTGCTGTTGTTGCTGCTGCTGCTGCTGCTCTACTTGATTGACTTGGCTAACTTTGCTCGGTATATCCGCTCCATGCGCAGGGATTTGGGATGTCCTCTCCAATCAAGAAGTGGTCGACTTTGTGCGTGATAGAATATCAGCTAAACGCATGCCCGTTGATGTAAGTCATGAATATATCATTATGATCAGGTGATGCAGGTGTCCTGCCGCTACATGTATCTTGCCCCCTACTTTGGATTGGAGTAATGCTCGTACTTCCGTTCAAGTATGTACCATGTATGCCATTGATCTGTGCGTGCCTTGAAGCTCAAAAGTCACATGACACTTGAAAGTCGCCGTGGTCACAGGATATTGATAGGATACAATGTCATTAGGGAGGTCAGGCCCGCCGAAAGGCGGTCGAAGTTGGTCCGGTTTGAGAGAGGGGGGGGGGGGGGGGTCCGGTTGATGTCCCCCGGGCATTTTTTGACAAATCCGGTCAGAAATAGCAGATTTTGGCCCTTTCACAAGTTTTCAGAGCCCACTACAGGGAATAATTTTGCATGGATATCAATGTACGATATATGGCCTACTATGGGTGAATGTACATAATGTAATTGTATGCATGATCAATAATACTAGTACATGTGTGTACATGTACATGTACTTCCTGCGGAAACGAAAACTCCGTGACTTCGATCGACCTGTCAGTCTGGTGAATTCAGCTCTGAGGAATTGAGCGATGGTGACTCCCAGTGAGACTCGTGCGGTGCCAATTTCCTTTGCATGATAGTAAACATACTGGCCAAGGAAGTATGTCCACTCGTTGTCTTGACATATTTTTTGTTCGACTGAACCACATTGCTTGAGCACAGTAACTCTTTAGTTCGAATGTGAATAAATAATGTCACGAAGTTTATATTTCCGGAGGAACTACATGTACCCAGAATTTTTTCTCCCCGGTTTTAGACGAATCCCAGGGGGTGACCTGAGCCAGAGTCGGTCCGGTGAAAACCGGACCGCTTCCGGCAGCCCTGGAGGTTCAGTGACTCGCTTTGAACTCGTACACGAAACAAAATCGATTTCTTTTCGTGTTCGAATTGTGTAATGCGTAAAAAAAAGGTTCAATGATTCGTAAACGAGATACAGCTTTGTCTGCCATGGCCGCACGACGGCAACGGCAACAGAAATACAGGTACAACTGTACCGATACTAGATCCTACTTCTATTATTTTTTGATATGGTGTATCCTTATTTGGCAGTGCAATCTCGGGCCTACTTACGAATCAACCAGCCCGGGTCGACGCCATGTTCACGAGACTCTAACCCAGACCTGACCTATTGACTTGTTTCGTGTGAAACTAACGGGTCCCTGAACCTCTCTATTATGCTGGCACAGCTTGCCTTTCCTGTGGCACTCCCTGAAACTGGACTCTTTCTCGGCTTCCATTTTGCACACTCCTGCCGAGCTACTATGTGTAGTATTTGACTGTTGTCTTACGTTTTAAAACATTTTCTTTGCTTCCTACTGCCTGTGTGTCTGTTGTGTTAGATTTGTGAGGAGTTGATGACGCATTGTTTGGCTCCAGACTGCCGTATTGGTGGAGCGGGTTGTGACAATATGACTGTCATCATAGCCTGCATGCTACATGGCGGTACGTTTGATGATCTGGCGGCCAAATGTGCACGAAGCCGTCCGCAGACGCCACCTCCGCAGCTACCGCCCAGACCTACTGTTGTGCCTGGAAGTGGTGGTGCTGGCTGGTCATCTGTTGATGGGGGTGCTGATCCCACTACTACTACTACCACTACTACAGCTGATGCTGCTGATGCTGCTGATGCTGGCACTGCAAATACCAGTATACAGTCTTAGAGAGTGTAGTAATATGGAGAAGACTGTCCCGCTGTGTGTGTGTGTATGTGTGTGTGTGTGTGTGTGTGTGGTTAAATTACTACTGGCTATTGCTGCTGCTGCTGCTGCTGCTGCTGCTGCTGCTGCTGCTGCTGCTGCTGCTGCTGCTGCTGCTGCTGCTGCTGCTGCTGCTGCTGCTGCTGCTGCTGCTGTGAACCTGCCATCACTGTAAGTACTTCATGTAAAGGTATGAGGCAGTATGATCTGCACTTGCTCACCTACTGGCACTTCACACACACAGCACAGCATACTGTGAATAGTCCAGCGCAGGAAGCTGGCCAGCACACTACCATAGCTCCATAGCTCTTGCAGACGCTTACTCCTTTTAGAAAAGCAGCATATCACGTGCGGCTATCTGCCCCCTACACGTTGTGTGGGGCTAACAGTGATGGTAGCGTAGTGCTGCAACTGGCAATGCCATCATCACATTGTAGGCTTTTCAAGAGAGTGGCTGTAAACAATGTGCATATCGCTGTGGACATGCCATTGCAACTGTCTAGTGTTGATTCTAGGATCTCTTCTTCCTGCGTGTGTATGGCCTGTACACCGCAGATTCCTGTGCATATCACAGTGTACATGTGTGTAATGCATTCAAACTGCTCTCTCTCTCTCTCTCTCTCTCTCTCTCTCTCTCTCTCTCTCTCTCTCTCTCTCTCTCTCTCTCTCTCTCTTTCTTTCTCTGTCTGTCTGTCTTTATCTATCAATCATCTATCTCCCTCCCCCCCCCCCTCCCTTCCCCTCTTTCTGGGTACACGCGTATTGTCTGACAGGTGTGTGATCACCAGCACTACTAGAAAAGCACATTGCACTGTGTCCTGTCATTGTTTATGGACTGATCTATCACCTTCAGTAGAGACTTGCATAGTTGGGCAGGGAAGGACTGTTGCCAGGCCAACTGCACCACGTTTTTCAAGCTGTTATGTGTTTTTACATCTTTAAATTGCATCACTAGTGCACTGGATCATGGATGTTTCAGTTCATAAAATTATAAACAATATGTCTTGAGGTGATTGTACTTGCTTAGAAACTTGTGTCAATTTAAAAACCTGTGTAAGTGTCACTATGCTCATCTCCGCTATTTCAATCTATTCATGGGTCTTTCTGCACCATGTCCATTTTGACCCTTTTCAAAGTTTTGTTAATGATCTCGTGTCTAACTTTCCATTGCCTCTGTTTTTAATGAACCCTGATCACTATTATTCCATGCCCATGGTCCGTGTCCAGACTGTTTCTGCACTGTGAGTGCAGCCGCAAATGGAAGAAAGACCGAGTCTTGTTTTGACTGGAGCTGTTGATGTACTCGTTTTGATTGATTTTTATTTCACGGATCCTCCAGAGGCAAATAGATGCCTATCAAAGGGAGTCTCCTAAGTTAAAGGGGCCGTCCAACTCCAAGGTTACCAATAATATTTTCAAAACGAAAAGTTTTCGTTTGGGGGTGGGTACGTGGGTTTGGTGGAGTTTCGTTTTGAAAATAATTATTGAATGTAGATGGAGAACATGTGAGAATGTCCAGTTACTTTTCGGTGTCGAAAATTGACATCAATATTTTTATTGGAATTCGTTTTACCTGCAGAAAAGATGGGTGGGGGCTGAAAAATACTAAAACTTTTCGTTTTGTAAAAACAATCTAACCCCCGATGGCCCCTAAGTATGGAAAATGAGAAAGTATGTTCGTAGGGGAGAAGAGGTAGAAGATACATTAGAATACAAAAGAAGTAAAATCAGTACTTCGGGTAGTACATTGCATGCTAATCATAAGCATATAATTATTAAATGAGAATTAGAAAAGCAGCATTGTGGACTACTATAACTGAAATATACACAAACTATTGAAACTATCATGCATGTGGTTAGCCTAGACACAAAAGTCAGGAATACCTTTCAAAGAAAACATAGATTGCGAATGATACCGACGAACAGCAATACTAAATTTCGCGGTTGTAGAGAGTGAACGAATATCTTCAGGAAGTTTATCCCAAGCAACACCCAAAGAAAAGAAAAAAACCGTGCATGCATGCAGTCTGGTATTCCTCAGTCCTACTTGTAAGTTGTAACAACTTTCCGACAGCACAGTGTAGACTGTAGTGCATTCCTCGCTGTTACTGTGTTAGCTCTGGCATGATTTTTTTAGTGTTTATATTTGAATTCGGATAGCTCAACAGTACAGAAGTACAACTACAAAGAGTACCGAATAGACCGAATGATACGGGTGGCTGCAAGATAATAGTCAAACTTCGCTTATAACAACACTCGGCGGGGCATCAAAAAGGTGTCCTTATTCGCGAAGTGTCGTTATACCCGAAGTCTCATTATAATTACTTCTTGAAGTATGTATTACAGTGGGATGGGACTTTGCTCTGGGCATGGGAATTCTGTCGTTATTCGCGAATTGTCATTATATCCGCAGTCGTTATTAGCGGAGTTGACTGTACAGTCAGACCTCGCTTAACCGCACACATCCGTTTCCCACAAAAATGTCCGGATAGGCGAGGGAACCGGATAACCGAACACCGGTTATGTAGGATGCATTGCGTATGCTGTAGATCTGTAACCAGCTATTTTCTTCCGGATGGCGAGGGATCCGGATGAAAGAAAAGAGGACCGGATAAGCGAGGTCTGACTGTACTACATGACTGTATGTACTGGCATCTGCTCACAGCTAGCACTGTAGCCATGGTAGCAGTCAGCAGAGAGGCAGAGAGGCGGCTTTGACCATGTGCATCAGAGTCCTTGCTCCCCCGGCCCCCGCCGGACTTGACTGATCTATTATCAAGAGTACATAACCGGGGATGTTATGTACTCTTGATAATACTAAGAGTATGCAGCTTGTGCACACTTTGAAGAGTGTGAAGCTCAAATGGGTTGCCGTCCTGGCAAAATTCCTGGATTGTAGTGCATTTAAGGGCATGTTCGATTGGCAGGATCGGGATTCCGATCCACTGGATTCGCACCCTTTCGATTGGTCGAGTCCGGATTTGGATCCGGTCAACCCACCTCGGGGAGCAGGGTTGACCGGATCCAAATGTGACCTTTGTGCGCATATGGCGGGTAAAAATCGTTTTTGTACACATTCTGGTACGCACACGTGGATCGAGATATAGAGCTTGTTGACTTTTTGTACAACTGGCGCGGTGAGTACGACTTTTTATTACTTCGTCAACATGGCAACAGTCAAGGCCCAAAAACAGTGTCCAGTTGACTCTGAAGGATCCAACGGATCTGAGATCTGGATCCCAATCCTTACCAATCGAACATGCCCTAAGTAGATATCCAGCTTCGCACATAAATTTAATGTACACTGTTACAATCATTATAGTCAGGTACCCCCCCCCCCCCCACACACACAGTGACACTACCGACACCACCAGTGCATTATGATTGTACTATACTCTTGATACACCCCCCCCCCTTTACCCCCTCCCCCTACATAACATACCCCTCGCCAACGGCATCATTTTTTGTTCTTGCCACAAGCAGTCAGATGTTCCTAGTTCAGAAGTTCTGAAGACTGCTTCAGTGATACATGTACACTGCTCCAGTCCTCATCACGTACAGTACATTTCCACAGTCACCATTATCATCACCATTGTAACGTTATCATGACTTGCACCATACTGGCTCTAAAATTAAAATTTAAGGCAAATAGCTACTTACAGAGCAAGAAGCAAGAAAAGACCTTGACAAGCAGGTGCATTTCACATGCTGCTACTACAGTAGTGCCCTGGACCTAGGCTGATTTACTTGTGCTCAGGTCAAAGGCTGATACTCAATGCTCAATGAATGGAATGCTAGCAAGGGCAGCGTAGACACCAGATCACATGACTAGCCAGGGGGCATGATAGCTAAAACAAAAATATTTCTCTGCAGATTACTCAATAACGACAGCAGTTACCAGTAACCGTGAACTGTGAACACAGGACAGTACGCCTGTCTCAGTGACTATCTCAGTGACTATCTACCTAAAGAACAGCAGCAGCAGCAGCAGCAGCAGCAGCAGCAGCAGCAGCAGCAGCAGCAGCAGCAGCAGCAGCAGCAGCAGCAGCAGCAGCAGCAGCAGCAGCAGCAGCAGCAGCAGCAGCAGCAGCAACCAGGAAGGCACTAGTAAGAAAGATTACAAACGTTGTAAATAAAGAGTGTGAGGCAAATTGAAATTGTACATCTCTGACGTTGAACCGGCAACGGTTAAACAGTACATATCTCTGAAAGTGGTTAAAACATATTGACAAATGGAGTGTTCTACGTCTAGCACAAATAATCCTGACCGAAAACTCGAGTGAAATGACTGCTGAGTACCAACAAGGCGGATGATTACTCATCAATATCTACTGACCATTCATGCTTGACACGGCCGTACTGAAAGTGCAGGGAACAGCAGAGCAAACAAAACAAAAACAGAAACAATGGAATGTGCAAGTTAGCTGAATTGAAACAAACTTGATTGTACAAAACGAAGGGTTGAATGACGCTGCCCTCTTGCCAATATAGTGCACTATTACTAGTAGCCTTCTCGCTTAGGATGAGCTTTCTTTTTTTATGGCAGCTTAAGCGAAGGCTATATACCTGCCTTATGCAGGTTGATGCCAACGCGAACAAGCAAAATAATAATACAAGTAATAATAATAATTACTAGAATGCACATGCCTCTGTCGGACTTTGAAACGAGCATGCATGCCCTCAACTCAGGGCAAGGCGGAGTGCCTGCATGACTTCATGTCATGTTGGTATTGGTAAAACAGTGTGTGGAAAGTATCTCAAGTAAGAGACAGCACAACGGATCATCCTCCTCTTCCCCCCCCCCCCCACACACACACATGACACGTGGTAACATTGTATCTAGTAGCACAGGGTGCAAGTTCTCACCATCCGCAGCATCACCAGTGCCAGCAGCAGCAGCAGCATCAGCAGTAGCAGCATCAGCATCATCAGCAGTAGCAGCACCAGCAAGCAGTAGAAGCAGCAGTAGCAGCAGGAGTGGCAGAGGCATCGGCAGAGGCAGCATCATCCCCAGGGCCAGCAGCAGCAGCATCATCCCCAGGGCCACAGAGAACACAGAGAACACATTATTGTACCTGAATGTCAGTGAGAGATTTGTGACACTTGCGTGCAATATGGGCTCCAGTATCCATTGTTGGGATTTCGATAATCTGCAATACAGATAAAGGAGAAGTCACACATGTTAAACACATCTAGTATGGTACTACATGTAATACATGTACTTGTACATGAACACGTATCATCACCATCACCATACTACTTCGAAGTACTAAGCATGCCTGCAATGCCACCAGCCCCTTCCTTCACACTGATGGATATATGGAGCCTTGATCAACACGAGTTTCCATGGTTTTACCAAGGAAGCACCTGAATCCAGGCTGCAGTTCAGGCACTGAAGTACATTTGTTGACATACACCAAGCCGCACTTGAAGAATGATGAGACAAAAATCTGGTTTGTCAACTGTTCTCTGAAGGAAGATAATAATTATTATTAGTATGCTCTGATGGGGTACACATCCAAGTACTTGTCCATGTGCTTCAAAGTAAGAATTAGGAATTAGGAAAGACAATCAAGAAAGAAAGCAAAAGCCATGGGCATCACTGACCTTGTCTTCATAGAGAATGCTTCCAACAGGTGATACAACACATGCTGTTCCTGCTCCAAACATCTCAATCAACCGATTTTCAGCCTTGGCTTCCACGATGTCCTTCATTGTGAAGTCACGTTCAGTGACCTTGCACTCACCCTTCAGAAGAAGAACAATACGGAATTAGCGATAGTGACAGTAAAGTCAACAAGGGACACCAAGGCAGCAGCACAGGTGGCGAGATTTACAGTTATACAAGTATTTGTTGATAGCCGCGGCCAGCGGCACATGACATCTGGACATAACTCACCCATGACTGCGCTAGTGCCAAAAGAGATGCACGCGTTACACCGGGCAGAATTAATCCATTCAGCGGAGGTGTGACCAGTTCCTTTTCTACACACACAAAAACAAACACACAAAAACAATTTCAACTCGGATGTTGAGCCAAATTACAAAAACAATTACAGATTATTTGGAAAACATCATGCCCATCAGCAAGAGCTCATAATCCCCAAGAGTGTGCAACTCCTGATCAGTCCCTGTATGGAGGCCCGCTCGGCGGAATTCCTTCATTGCGTCATTTTTGTTGTAGTGCGACGGGTCATGCCGATGAATTCTTCTAAAATTTGCAGTCAAACTCGGATGCTTCCTTCGGGTAAACTGCCTAAACTGCGATTCTGATCTGAATCCCGGATCAAGAAGTGAAACAACGCGCGCGCGCGCGCGATTCGATGCCAATGGTGACTTCTCATCGCCTTCTTCTTTCGCCAGTGCAGTCTGTCTCTTCAACAAATATTTCTTCCCCAGGCCCTCGGCACATTTCCGGTGCTTTCCTCGAAGATAATCAAAAACAAACACACAAAAACAATTTCAACTCGGATGTTGAGCCAAATTACAAAAACAATTACAGATTATTTGGAAAACATCATGCCCATCAGCAAGAGCTCATAATCCCCAAGAGTGTGCAACTCCTGATCAGTCCCTGTATGGAGGCCCGCTCGGCGGAATTCCTTCATTGCGTCATTTTTGCTGTAGTGCGACGGGTCATGCCGATTAATTCTTCTAAAATTTGCAGTCAAACTCGGATGCTTCCTTCGGGTAAACTACCTAAACTGCGATTCTGATCTGAATCCCGGATCAAGAAGTGAAACAACGCGCGCGCGATCCCAAAGACAAAACTATTTTTTCGATGCCAATGGTGACTTTTCATCGCCTTCTTCTTTCGCCAGTGCAGTCTGTCTCTTCAACAAATATTTCTTCCCCAGGCCCTCGGCACATTTCCGGTGCTTTCCTCGAAGATAATTTCAAATGATTGAGGAAATTGAGAATGCGTCGAAGGAGCATCGGCTCAGTTGCACAGCTATCAGAATGATTATCCTCGACGGCAATGCAATACTTTTTTCCTCACCAAGCTACACTTGTATCATTGACAGCGTCCTTATTATTTCTTCCTGTCGATGTCCGGGGCACGTCCATGGATTCTTGGAGAAAAAGTTTGTTTTTGAGAAAGTACGACTTGTACGTCCGAAATGTCTTCAAACAAAGCTTCAAAATGTCGAGGCTACAGCCTTGAGTTAGGAGCGGTTCCGGGTATAGTATCCAGAAATCGCAAGGAACCCAAATTTACCTCGGATGACAAGTTGCGTGTGACGTAATGTAGGAATTTCGCCAAGCGCTGGGTGAATGCCAGTTGCACACTCTTGCCGTCTTGGGGGTTAAGAACTCTTGCCATCAGTCATGTGGGTAACCATGACAACTAGTGAGGGGGGGGGGGATGGGGCTCGATTGTAAGTCGCACGCCCTTTATTGGCCCTGAACTGAAGTGTAAAAAGGTGTAAGACTTATATTCGGGGAATACGGTAGACAACTTACCACCAGCTTTGTTCACCCAGAACATGAACATATTCATCGTTCCAACTTCTGTGATCTACAACATCGCAAGTAGTGCAACACAGCACACAGCACACAGCACACACAATAATTACACACATACACAAACACCATTAAAAATTAACTGACCAGAGCAGTAATTGTACATGTCTGTGTGAGACACCAGTGAAGAAATAACTGTGCATGAAGAATGTGTCAGACACCAGTGCAAGCAGACACCGGCGCAAGCAGACACCGGCGCAAGCAGACACCGGCGCAAGCAGACACCGGCGCAAGCAGACACCGGCGCAAGCAGACACCGGCGCAAGCAGACACCGGCGCAAGCAGACACCGGCGCAAGCAGACACCGGCGCAAGCAGACACCGGCGCAAGCAGACACCGGCGCAAGCAGACACCGGCGCAAGCAGACACCGGTGCAAGCAGACACCAGTGCCAGCAGATACCAGTGCAAACAGACACCAGTGCAAGCAGATACCAGTGCAAGCAGACACCAGTGCAAGCAGATACCAGTGCAAGCAGACACCAGTGCAAGCAGACACCAGTGCAAGCAGACACCAGTGCAAGCAGACACCAGTGCAAGCAGACACCAGTGCAAGCAGATACCAGTGCAAGCAGATACCAGTGCAAGCAGACACCAGTGCAAGCAGACACCAGTGCAAGCAGACACCAGTGCAAGCAGACACCAGTGCAAGCAGACACCAGTGCAAGCAGACACCAGTGCAAGCAGACACCAGTGCAAGCAGACACCAGTGCAAGCAGACACCAGTGCAAGCAGATACCAGTGCAAGCAGACACCAGTGCAAGCAGACACCAGTGCAAGCAGACACCAGTGCAAGCAAACACCAGTGCAAGCAGACACCAGTGCAAGCAGATACCAGTGCAAGCAGACACCAGTGCAAGCAGACACCAGTGAGCAGACACCAGTGCAAGCAGACACCAGCGCAAGCAGACACCAGTGCAAGCAGATACCAGTGCAAGCAGACACCAGTGCAAGCAGATACCAGTGCAAGCAGACACCAGTGCAAGCAGACACCAGTGCAAGCAGATACCAGTGCAAGCAGACACCAGTGAGCAGACACCAGTGCAAGCAGACACCAGTGCAAGCAGACACCAGTGCAAGCAGATACCAGTGCAAGCAGACACCAGTGCAAGCAGACACCAGTGCAAGCAGATACCAGTGCAAGCAGACACCAGTGCAAGCAGACACCAGTGCAAGCAGATACCAGTGCATGCAGTTACCAGTGCAAGCAAACACCAGTGCAAGCAGATACAGTACCGATCGGCTATAGCGTTGGTGTTTGATTTTCGTGAAAATATCACTATAGGCGATATATTACTATAGGCGATATGCATACTTAGGTATGCCTGACAAATGCGTGTATGGTGTCATTCGAATCAGTGCAGCGTGCAGAAGCGTGCTGTGCATGTGACTGTGCAATACGCGCAGGGCAGAGCTACTTCCTGTGGAAGCAAAAACTTCGTGACTTTTGGACATGAGTTTTCAAGGAATGTGTTCTTTTGGAAGAGAAACACTTCAACACATTCAATCGACATATCAACAATATCTACAGGATCGATTAGTGGGAGTAGAGTCTCAGTCTGGGTCGCCATCGCTCGACTCATCACCGCTGAAACCGGTCCAAGTGGCAGGTCGATCGACGCGTGATGTCGTATGTCACGGAGAAGCTTCTCTGCGTCCCTGATCGTCTTTGCTGTTACCTGAATGCCTTCTCCAACATCTCGGCGGAGACCACGGTAGCGCTTCAGCGCTGGTACTCATTACTGCCTCCAATCTCGCTCGAGGATGCCCCGAAACAACAAGCACAGCCAACGCCAAACATTTCGAATTTTCTCCGAGGGATATCATAGTCGTACAGCGCTTCCTGGCTGCCGCGATCAGATCTCGCCATGTACGTTGTATACTTTTTTTATGATCATCACTATAGCCGATGAAAAATGTATGCAGTAAGATCATTTTGACACAGAAATCGTACCATTATAGCCGATATATTACTATAGCCGATTATTACTATAGCCGATCCGATATGTATAGAAAGGGGTGGTTTACGAAAATGAATTTGAGAATACGATCACTATAAGAGGTATATTACTACAGCCGACAACCCTATAGCCGATCCGCACTGTACCAGTGCAAGCAGACACCAGTGCAAGCAGACACCAGTGCAAGCAGACACCAGTGCAAGCAGATACCAGTGCAAGCAGACACCAGTGCAAGCAAACACCAGTGCAAGCAGACACCAGTGCAAGCAGATACCAGTGAGCAGACACCAGTGCAAGCAGACACCAGTGCAAGCAGACACCAGTGCAAGCAGATACCAGTGCAAGCAGACACCAGTGCAAGCAGACACCAGTGCAAGCAGATACCAGTGCAAGCAGACACCAGTGCAAGCAGACACCAGTGCAAGCAGATACCAGTGCATGCAGTTACCAGTGCAAGCAAACACCAGTGCAAACAAACACCAGTGCAAGCAGATACCAGTGCAAGCAGACACCAGTGCAAGCAGACACCAGTGCAAGCAGACACCAGTGCAAGCAGATACCAGTGCAAGCAGACACCAGTGCAAGCAGACACCAGTGCAAGCAGACACCAGTGCAAGCAGATACCAGTGCAAGCAGACACCAGTGCAAGCAGACACCAGTGCAAGCAGATACCAGTGCAAGCAGATACCAGTGCAAGCAGATACCAGTGCAAGCAGACACCAGTGCAAGCAGACACCAGTGCAAGCAGACACCAGTGCAAGCAGACACCAGTGCAAGCAGACACCAGTGCAAGCAGATATATTATTATGTTTTTGTTAGCATGGATGACTATAGCCCTCTCATGTACAGACACTGGTTTCTAGCATGTGTCATGCGCATATGCATGGGCCAGCCTGGAAACAAGAAAATCATTCAAAGGACACTTCGGTAAAACCCCAAACCCCACCATCAGCTAGCACTCCGCAAGGTCGCAGTGGTCCTGGTGAACATGACAGCATAGAAGACCAGGAGGGAGTATCACACAGAAACATACACATTTGTCCCGTTAGCAAATTTCCGCTCGAACTAATGGATATACGTCATGTGCTCTGACCATGGTCAACTATGGCTTTGTTGGTTTAATCCAAAAACAAATTTGAGTGTTTTGCGTGTCATACTTAGCGCAGGGGCCATGCTAACCATCTCCACGTCGTACCAATTTTAGTACAGGCGTCAACGCTATGATCACCGCCACCATCAGGATCTGAAGTGGTACTATGGTAATCAAAGCAAACATTAGTTTGAATCTTACATTCTGCTCAGGGCCAAAGAGCCACAGTACTTGTGAACAGTCACGAGCTTCAGCTTCCTTCTGTGGTGAAATCGTGGGCCCATAGTTACTGGAAACACAGGGAAACACGTAGGTAGGAGTTCTAGATTGTCAACAACATCATGATCAATATCCAATCATGGAACATGTATGAAGTATGAATCATTATCATGAATACAATGATGTGACGGACATGATCAGAGTCCATGTACGAATCACAAATTACAATGTACCGTAAAGTACCGCCAGAGCGCCCCACCATCTCGTCCTTTCGTGGTCGCCTTGTGGAGGTGGATTCCTGTCTGCAGGTCATACGACACGGACCTTGTACAAACATTGCACATTGTGCAGTCAATCCGTACCCAGTTTACCTTCGAGCTCCACATAAAAGCATACCAAGTGTGACCTTAGTACACGAAGGTTCTCACATCGTACAAACTTAGTAGCATTCTGCCATACGATTTTCTCCCCTTGGCTGTAAAATCAAGGTGGGGCGCTCTCGCGAGACGGGGCGCTCTGGCGGTACTTTACGGTACTCTTAAGTCTGAAGAACAGATTTCGCACACAAGTCTCCATTGATGTGTACACCAGGGAGTACTAGTATCAAGAAAGACTACACCAACACCATAGTACTAGTAGTATCAAGAAAGACTACACCAACACCATAGTACTAGTACAGTTGTGGCAAGTGAAATCCGACACTTGCCATAGGGGACAGCGCCACAAATGGACACCAATGATGTAATGCACTGCACCTAATTTGTACTATAGAGCCGTATGCATCCCGAACAGATCGAAAGGTCACAGCCTAGATACACACAGTTCACAAATATGGTACACATAAGGAGTATTGGTATCCAATCCCCATTCATTTTTGCCAGCACCTTTTGAACCTTGACTGTGATGAGTACGAGTTCTGTCATCAGACAGATAAAGTTGTATGTAACACATGTACTGTACGTATGCAGGGCTGCAGGGGCTGCAGACTGCATGGTGCAGTCCCTTATGCCAAGTGTCGGATTTCACTTGCTACAACTGTAGTATCAAGGGAGACTACACCAACACCATATATGTACCATAGTACCAAGAGTACATAACCACAAGAGTGTGCAACTCCAGCTATGGGGTCTACGACGGCAGAACTTCACATCAGGTGATGAACCCGTGCACTCTGTGCATGATAGATACTGGGTTGTACGCAGCCCAGCTTTGGGTACAACTCTCTTGTGGTCACTTTCAGGGCTCACGGTTGGGATGCCAAAACTCGATTACGTGGGAGGACATCTTGAAATCTGATCACCATAGAAATGAGCTCGCGTGACTCGAGCTATGCACGCGGCAGTGCACGCCTACGCGGCGCGGAGCACAGCAAGGACTCGAGAGAGTTGCAGTGACCTGGTGACTGACAAGAAGAAGTAGAACTGAGGAAGACGGAGACCGGCTGGGGGGACTTGTGTTTCACTTTGGTTGCCGTTCACTGTCGTTGTTATTGCTTCTTTCCGAGCGAGTGTGTTGCGAGCAGTGCTGGCCTCGTAAGCCGAAGGCTTCAGACAGTTCGTTCGCACGCTGAGTCCTGCGATGAGAAGTCGCGAGTTCTGCCGCCGAGTCTTTACTGAGAAAGGG